TCTCTCTCTCTCTCTCTCTCTCTCTTTCTCTCTCTCTTACCACAGACGCTTCATACGCAACTTTTTTTTTGTCATCCATGCCCAAAGAGCGCTGGACAATGAACCCATGGACGACCTGATTTCAACCCGCATTTTTATCTAGGTGTGTGTCCAGGAATAACTCATGACGTAGAAGAGAAAAACACGCGAATTCTTAAATCATTGAGACGATGAGGACAAAAAACAGACAGATGAACTTGCTCGATGGGGGAAGAGGGACTGCAGACACAGAAAGAGACAAGGCGAAGAGAAGGATAGAAAGAGAGAGAGAGTGAGGGAGAGATGGAGAGAGAGGGAGAGAGAGGGGGGAGAGAGACAGACAGAGAGAGCAGAGAGAGATGGAGGAGGGAGAGAAAGAGAGAGAAAGAAATAAAGAGAGAAAGAGAGAACATGGATGGAAGAGAGATGGGTGTAAAAATAAAACCTCGTTTTCTTGGTGAAAATCTATAGACTTAAATATTGTTCGAGGGCGTTTGAAACAGTTTTGGGGGTGTATTTTTTATTCGTTTGATTTTTGCTTGTTGTTTTTTAATACTGCATTATGTATTGTTCCATTGCAGAGTATTGCAGAGGTAAATGTCATTCCCACTGACCTAAAATGCTATATAATAAAGTAAAAGTCAGTCTGAGACCCCCCCCCCCCACACACACCCTTTTTTTCCTCCCCTCAGGGCCATAATCCTGGGGTGTTTTAAAAATTAGACAAAGGGTAGATCGGGTCGGACGTCACAAGTTGCCCCCGGGAGAGTGGAGACCTCGGTCAAGTAAGTTCCAAACGTGGGGCTCAAACTTACTTTTACCGAGAATAATGTAAGCGCTTTGACACCACTCACTACAATATAGTGTGTAAAGTGCACAGAGCTTGCTGTCGAACGGGGATATGCGCTATACACATGCTATTTATTAGTTTTATTTATTATTGATTACAACCTTGGAGAAGTTCGTTTGTCAGGTATTTTTGTTCGCTCAAAAACGTCAAATTATCTTAACAGCGTGATAATTGAGCAGAAATGGAGTTTTGGGTGAGACATGAAGACACTTGTCGAGCCAATCTGTTGTGTCGTTTACACTGAACAGGCTGTAGAGTCAGAGATGAGGGGTGCAAGATGAGAGTTGTTTTCATAGAGTATACTGAGGCCAGCAGTAGTATTGTTTACGTGGCCAGCAGTACATGTTGTTTCATTACTCATTACATTATCCTAGACTGTGAACGC